TAATATGTTAAATAATCTGATTTTATTACAAAATAAATTTTTGTTTACTATAAGGAATTAAGTTATGCTTTTTTATATACAATGTTTGGTAACAAGTTGTTAGTATTTAATTTTATATATAAAGTGTTTTCTCCTTATAATGTGCCAGATTCCATCATATGCTATCATGCAAATCGATAGGTCGGTCTGTGACCGTCGGTCTGTGACCAGACCCAAGGTGGTACCATCTACCCTGCCATCCCCATGATGTAGTTTTACATCACCTTCTCTGTTGATACTAATTCCTTATATATGATTTTACATACTGGATGTTTTACCATAAGTCTTTTCGTAATATTTTCAATAGAATTGCACAAAGTTTATATTTGTAAAATTTTCTCTTTTTTTTTAAGTCGGTCTGTGACCAAACATATTAATATCAATATTTCATAAATGACTTTATGTTTTGATTTTTGTAATATTGTCAATTAAAAGTGTGTGGGAAGGAGTTTAAAATTTACTTGGAATTTCAGATTTACTGGTTTATCTGTAATATTTAAACAGTTTTTTACCATTATGAATGCCTTAAAAAGTCGGTCTGTGACCATGGAATTGCCCTATAATATTATAATAATATTGCCTACAATTTTCATATTTTATGCTATAGAGATCAGATTGCTTGATGATTTCTTGCCAACTGTCGCCCATTACTTTGAAATCTCACACCTCTACAACGTACATTCACACCACATCAAACAAGAACGTTCTTGTATCGCTTTTTACTAATTTTAGACTTGTGTACAAAATACACTGTAAGTTCTAATATTAATGTACTGTATTGCTTATAAATTTAACATGATTTTACAAACAGAAAATCTCTTTAATACAATATTTTTCTTTGTATTCATATTAAACCATCAATTACATAATTTTAAATGATTTTTTTATTTTGATTTTTGTGTTGAATGGATGGGCTACAACTAAGGTAGTATATTTAATACATATTTTTGACAAAATAATATACTTTATATTAGAGACAATAATAGCATGACAGGTTCTCAATGAGATAGTAAACTCCACAAAATCATACAAATTTTATCAATAAATTTCCATTGTTCATAATCATCTCAGTTGACTCAGCATAAACAGCACCAAACTGAAGCTCGGGAACAAAATTAAATAATTCTTCACTGGTACTGTAGGGTACTGTAAAAATAATAAATGAAGGCAGGGGAAATCTAAAAATATTAGTGTTATCTTCACACATCCTTGAAACCATCTTGTGTACTATTAAATCAGAACACTCCTTTTCCTACCAACCATAAGGACACATTACAGTATAGAAAAATATTACAAGTATAATCATACATCAAGGTTATAAACAATGGGGCTGTGGTTTATGTCTGATTGTAATCAATATGTTCTTCAACAACATTCACTAGGTTCAATGTTAATATGTTAAATTAAAATGCATTATAATCAAGAACATATTTTGCTAGTATCATCAATGCTATATTGTGCTATAAAAGTGCATAAAAGGAAAATCAAGTATTTTTTCATTTTTTATTTTTTTTAATTTAAAAGTTAACACTTATCATATAAAGTATCATTAATTATCAGCCATTGTTTTTATTACTTCCACTACATAAATTTCTTGTTTCCTATTCTGTGTACATGTTTACAGTTATCATTACAATTTCAACACCAAAAAATACACCGAAAAAAATACAGGAGTGGCGTCAAGTGAGTTTAAGACTAGAGAGTCAAACCATCTTTGTAAACCCTGTCCCTGAAACCAACAGATATACCAAAAGACTGATCAAGTTTTACTAGTTTTCCATTGTAGTTGAAGCACCTGGAACTGTGGTCCTCTAGACAATAAATGCAGTATTATTATTTACTACTTAATTTTATTATTATTATTATTATTATTATTATTATTATTATTATTATTATTATTATTGTTATTATTGTTATTATTATTTAATTATTATTATTATTATTAACATGGCTTCCTCAAATCTATTTTTAGCTTATCCATATGTATTTGGTCATCTTAATTATTTTCTTTAGGTAAACATCATGTGATTGCCTGGACATTTCAAAAGCATTTATTTTGATCGTGCCTGGCATCGTCTTCTCGCTCCGTGTTTGGAAAATGCAATTTCTGATCATTAATTATTTAAATAATAACCATAACCATTATTATTTATACTTGGATGCAATCTGAAATAGACAGAAGTGAATGGTGGAATGAATTATACATGAATTGTGGCTACAGCCACATTTCATAATTAAATAGCCATTACTAATTGTTAACATCATACATAAATGCAGCTCAAAATCTGTTCACGAATGAGTCACCAATGTGATAAAATCTTTAAGAGAACATCTGCTGTTTCTAAAGCATACACTACAATATGTTTTCTGACTAAAAGGAGGGTTTTGTTTTGTTTTTGTTGTTTGTTAGATTGTCAATAGTATATACTTAACATAACAATTATCCAATAAAATATATTGTTTACAGGTGCATTTGCCACCAGCATACACAAAAACACAAGAGTAAAATCTACTGTAATTGTTGGCTAAACTGAGTGAAGCCTTAAGACTCAGGGATCATCTCCTCAAGTCTCCCGTAAAATCGCAGGAGTCTCCGGGAGATTTGGAAGGCCACCTACCTGTAAGAATAATCATCTCCAGAAAAACAACCCATCTCCCCACCAAATTCAAAATATTTGCATGTTTTTACTACTGCATTAAATTATTAATTGTCTCCAGGACATCAGATGCCAATGTGTATCACCATGCAGAGCAAAATGAATTAGGATGTGTTAAAAGAAAGCTCATTTATTCAAACAGATCTCCCGGTTCATATCTTCTTCCAACTTGGAATCCCTGAAGACATCTACAGTTAGTGGTTAATTTCATCATCGCTAATCTACTTTGTTTCAGACATCTCAAATGCAAGCTTCTGTACATTAGGCTTTGGATAGATGTTGAGTGCAATGTGACAGTATCCCATACTCCAAAATACAGTTTTTTGTAGAGAATTGTTTCTTGATTGATTTTCATAGAAATTTACCCGACCAATGGGCTGGCTTCATCATATTTCATTTAGTCAAAATATTTATGTTGTTAACCATACTTGTGTACAAAAAAGAAATATGTTCACTTGAATGAATATACTTAAAAAAACCTAGGAACAATTTATATTATTTCCTCTGATTAAATTAACAAAAACAAAAATCTTTAAATAAACTGACATTTTTTTTTTTTTTTTGTAGAATACAGTATTTCGTTGATTTGTGTCTAAAACCAAAATCATTCCCCTCAACTTTTCATTCTAGATATTTCATCATTCAAAAGACTACTGTAATTTATCCAATTTGAAAGGTATTCTATTTTTTAAGAGTTTAAATGTTTGCACAGTATATACAGTAAAAAGAATATCAACAAAGTCTGTTTAGCTGCGCTGTATTGACATACTGTACCAACTGACCTACCGCTATACAAATATTACTTTAGAGGTAGTGCGTTCACACATCCATTCTATATATGGCAAAGACAAGCCAAACCAGTCTCAGTCATTCATTGCAAGTAGTGTTTCGGAGATAATCCTAAACATGTTGGACTGGAAAACAATTTTGTGCTTCCAACCATGACAATTGTCTCAATAAAATGCCTCAAGCATGAAATGTTATCTGATACACTACATAGTCCAACAGTTTATTTATTTATTTATTTTTTTTTGTTTTTCCCAAAAAATATCTCCGGGACATTCATGATGGCTCTGACCACTGTTGATCAGTCACACACTTTTCTCAGCCCTGGTCATAAGTTTTGAAATCAAATTATCGCGCTAAGCTACCCAATATCTATAGATACTGTATATCATATTGTTATTCCAAAATGTTGACAATAAAACAACATATTTTATTAATAATAGTCTCTGAAAGCTCTAAAATGGTAAACTTTGAAGGTCGACTTCGCAAATACTGTTCTTTAAACAGCTGTATATTTAAACTCCTTTATATTAACAAAATGTTGAACTTAAAAATGATTCTTTTACCATTTTATAACTTCCATTTTACTTCTTCACCCTGTATTAAATAAAAATCAATTTTCTGCAAGGAGTGAGTGGTTTGGCGTGTCTTTGCCACATAAACACATTCCGCTAGGTTGGTCACATTTACCAATAGTGGGTAGACACTGTAAATTGTAATAGGAAAATGCATGATTCTTTGGAGTATTTGTGCTGTAGCAAAAGACACATAGCAGTAGTAGGTGTTGGATAATGTTGGTTGGAATGCCAGTAAACTAAACAAATCCATGATTGGAAATTGAACTACAGAATATTGCCATAATAAAAAATCTTTTTAACTATGATCAAAGCTAACACAAATCACCAGACACAACAACAAAGAATACTGTATCATCAAAACATACACCATATTTCATATAGAATATATTTGTTGAAAATTAATAGAAAATTAACAGATAAAATGATTACATTTATGCTCCATGAAATGATAAGTACAAAACAAAGAGTGCTACAATACCGCAATCTACAGCCCGCACCGGTGGAGGAGGCCCGCCATTTTCACATGTTTCTGGATCAGGAACAGACACTCGCCATCTTACGCCATCAGTGCGACATGCCGTGTATTCGAAATGAAAATCATCCTGTGAAAAAAATAAATATGTATTATTTTTTAATTTTATTTATTACAGACAAAATAATATTAAAATACCAAATACTAAAAAAATTTTTGAAAACTCAAAAAAGTGATTAAAAAGTCAGATTATACGGCCATTAAAGAAAGTTGCAATCAAACCTATGTTTGTGTTAAGCAACATGCAGGAAATGGTAACAAAAACACCCCCCCCCCCCTCTTTCCATCCGGGCCACTAACAAAACAGGTCAAGCCTCTATCGGTCGGCAACCAAATGTTGGGTCATCATTAAGAGCTGTAACTTACAGTACAGTACATGTATGTTCTAAAAATGTCTCAAAAAGTGTAAAATAAAGGGACCAGGGATGTAATTATGGTGGGCGGAGATGGGTGGGGCCACAAAGCCTTAAGTGTTAGACCCAGTCTAAAGCAAATTTCATGGCCCTTCACCCACTTTTATTACCCCCTTGCCCATCCATAAAATTCAATCTTATTATTTAGAGTTTACCAATTATCACCCACCCACCCTAAAACGGTTTTCCACCCTTAGCTTTCCATTGCTACAACCCTGAAGGGCCCAACATTTAGTAGTTTCTCTGCATGTCAATGGATAAATAACTGAACTATTTTTTTATGTATGTAATAATTCTAGATTTTTTTAAAAAGAGATCTACACAGGAGTAATAATTTAATATCTTACAGCTACCTGTACTGTAGACTATAAAGGCATTTACCATTTATTATTACTACTTTTTAAGTACTTTTTAATGATATTTGAGATTAGCTCTATTAAAAAGTTCCAGATTATTTCTTTAAAATGTACAGAATAACAAAAATGTGACATTTACCAAAATAACAATTGTAATTTTCTGTTATACTGTACTGTAAATATTCATTGATCCTTGAAGCAATAAAATGAGTATTGTGCTCCTTTTGTTCTTATGTTTATGACCTTTAACCCTGCGATACAATATCTGTCCGAATATACAACCTCCAGTACAGAGTATTATTATGGATACTGTCAACAGATTTATTATAAAATATATGGCTAGAAATATTTTAAGATATATTTTTTGTAATTTAAATGTTTGCACAGTATATAGAGTAAAAAGAATATCAACAAAGTCTGTTTAGCTGCGCTGTATTGACATACTGTACCAACTGACCTACCGCACCATACAGATATTACTCTAGAGGTAGTGCGTTCACACATCCATTATATATGTGGCAAAGACAAGCCAAACCAGTCTCAGTCATTCATTGCAAGTCGTTTTTCGGAGATAATCCTAAACATGTTGGACTAGAAAACTATTTTTTACCTCCGACCATGAAATTGTCTCGATAAAATACCTCCAGCATGAAATGTTATCTGTACACTACATAGTCCAACAGTTTATTTATTTATTTATTTTTTTTGTTTTTCCCAAAAAATATCTCCGGGACATTCATGATGGCTCTGACCACTGTTGATCAGTCACACACTTTTCTCAGCCCTGGTCATAAGTTTTGAAATCAAATTATCGCGCTAAACTACCCAATATCTATAGATACTGTATATCCTGTCTCTTATACACATCTGACTCAGGAATCATCTCAAGTCTCCCATAAAATTGTGGGAGTCTCCGGGAGATTTGGAAGGCCATCTGCACTCCCGCAAGCAAGAATAATCCCCAAAAAAACAACCCATCTCCCCACCAAATTTAAAATATTTGCATGTTTTTACTACTGTATTAAATTATTAATTGTCTCCAGGACATCAGATGCCAATGTGTATCAACATGCAGAGCGAAATGAATTAGGATGTGTTAAAAGAAAGCTCATTTATTCAAACAGATCTCCTGGTTCATATCTTCTTCCAACTTGGAACCCCTGAAGACATCTACAGTTAGTGGTTACTGTAATTTCATCATCGCTAATCTACTTTGTTTCAGACATCTCAAATGCAAGCTTCTGTACATTAGGCTTTGGATAGATGTTGTGTGCAATGTGACAGTATCCCATATTCCAAAATACAGTTTTTTGTAGAAAAAATATGGATTCTTTTATCAAGCAATTCTGCGCAGCTTGATAAATTTCCTGGTAGAGTTTTTAATCCTTATTTTGGTATTTACACATTTTTAGCAGCCTAGAGAATTGTTTCTTGATTGATTTTCATAGAAATTTACCCGACCAATAGGCTGGCTTCATCATATTTCATTTAGACAAAATATTTATGTTGTTAACCATACTTGTGTACAAAAAAGAAATATGTTCACTTGAATGAATATACTTAAAAAAACCTAGGAACAATTTATATTATTTCCTCTGATTAAATTAACAAAAACAAAAATCTTTAAATAAACTGACATTTTTTTTTTTTTTTTTTTTTTTTTGTAGAATACAGTATTTCGTTGATTTGTGTCTAAAACCAAAATCATTCCCCTCAACTTTTCATTCTAGACATTTCATCATTCAAAAGACTACTGTAATTTATCCAATTTGAAAGGTATTGTATTTTTTTTAAGAGTTTAAATGTTTGCACAGTATATAAAAAGAATATCAACAAAGACTGTTTAGCTGCGCTGTATTGACATACTGTACCAACTGACCTACCGCACCATACAGATATTACTCTAGAGGTAGTGCGTTCACACATCCATTATATATGTGGCAAAGACAAGCCAAACCAGTCTCAGTCATTCATTGCAAGTCGTTTTTCGGAGATAATCCTAAACATGTTGGACTAGAAAACTATTTTTTACCTCCGACCATGAAATTGTCTCGATAAAATACCTCCAGCATGAAATGTTATCTGTACACTACATAGTCCAACAGTTTATTTATTTATTTATTTTTTTTGTTTTTCCCAAAAAATATCTCCGGGACATTCATGATGGCTCTGACCACTGTTGATCAGTCACACACTTTTCTCAGCCCTGGTCATAAGTTTTGAAATCAAATTATCGCGCTAAACTACCCAATATCTATAGATACTGTATATCCTGTCTCTTATACACATCTGACTCAGGAATCATCTCAAGTCTCCCATAAAATTGTGGGAGTCTCCGGGAGATTTGGAAGGCCATCTGCACTCCCGCAAGCAAGAATAATCCCCAAAAAAACAACCCATCTCCCCACCAAATTTAAAATATTTGCATGTTTTTACTACTGTATTAAATTATTAATTGTCTCCAGGACATCAGATGCCAATGTGTATCAACATGCAGAGCGAAATGAATTAGGATGTGTTAAAAGAAAGCTCATTTATTCAAACAGATCTCCTGGTTCATATCTTCTTCCAACTTGGAACCCCTGAAGACATCTACAGTTAGTGGTTACTGTAATTTCATCATCGCTAATCTACTTTGTTTCAGACATCTCAAATGCAAGCTTCTGTACATTAGGCTTTGGATAGATGTTGTGTGCAATGTGACAGTATCCCATATTCCAAAATACAGTTTTTTGTAGAAAAAATATGGATTCTTTTATCAAGCAATTCTGCGCAGCTTGATAAATTTCCTGGTAGAGTTTTTAATCCTTATTTTGGTATTTACACATTTTTAGCAGCCTAGAGAATTGTTTCTTGATTGATTTTCATAGAAATTTACCCGACCAATAGGCTGGCTTCATCATATTTCATTTAGACAAAATATTTATGTTGTTAACCATACTTGTGTACAAAAAAGAAATATGTTCACGTGAATGAATATACTTAAAAAAACCTAGGAACAATTTATATTATTTCCTCTCATTAAATTAACGAAAACAAAAGTCTTTAAATAAACTGACATTTTTTTTTTTTTTTTGTAGAATACAGTATTTCGTTGATTTGTGTCTAAAACCAAAATCATTCCCCTCAACTTTTCATTCTAGACATTTCATCATTCAAAAGACTACTGTAATTTATCCAATTTGAAAGGTATTGTATTTTTTTTAAGAGTTTAAATGTTTGCACAGTATATAAAAAGAATATCAACAAAGACTGTTTAGCTGCGCTGTATTGACATACTGTACCAACTGACCTACCGCACCATACAGATATTACTCTAGAGGTAGTGCGTTCACACATCCATTATATATGTGGCAAAGACAAGCCAAACCAGTCTCAGTCATTCATTGCAAGTCGTTTTTCGGAGATAATCCTAAACATGTTGGACTAGAAAACTATTTTTTACCTCCGACCATGAAATTGTCTCGATAAAATACCTCCAGCATGAAATGTTATCTGTACACTACATAGTCCAACAGTTTATTTATTTATTTATTTTTTTTGTTTTTCCCAAAAAATATCTCCGGGACATTCATGATGGCTCTGACCACTGTTGATCAGTCACACACTTTTCTCAGCCCTGGTCATAAGTTTTGAAATCAAATTATCGCGCTAAACTACCCAATATCTATAGATACTGTATATCATATTGTTATTCCAAAATGTTGACAATAAAACAACATATTTTATTAATAATGGTCTCTGAAAGCTCTAAAATCGTAAACTTCGCAAATACTGTTCTTTAAACAGCTGTATATTTAAACTCCTTTTAGATTAAACAAAATGTTGAACTTAAATGATTCTTATTACCATTTTATAACTTCCATTTTACTTCTTCACCCTGTAGTAAATAAAAATCAATTTTCTACAAGGAGTGAGTGGTTTGGCGTGTCTTTGACACATAAAAACATTCCGCTAGGTTGGTCACATTACCAATAGTGGGTATACACTGTAAATTGTAATAGGAAAATGCATGATTCTTTGGAGTATTTGTGCTGTAGCAAAAGGAACATAGCAGTAGGTGGTGTTGGAAAATGTTGGTTGGAATGCAAGTAAACTAAACAAATCCATGATTGGAAATTGAACTACGGAATATTGCCATAATAAAAAATCTTTTAAACTATGATCCAAGCTAACACAAATCACCAGACAAAACAACCAAGAATACTGTATCATCAAACCATACACCTTATTTCATATAGAATATATTTGTTAAAAATTAATAATTAGCCATCAGATAAAATGATTACATTTATGCTCCATGAAATGATAAGTACAAAACAAAGAGTGCTACAATACCGCAATCTACAGCCCGCACCGGTGGAGGAGGCCCGCCATTTTCACATGTTTCTGGATCAGGAACAGACACTCGCCATCTTACGCCATCAGTGCGACATGCCGTGTATTCGAAATGAAAATCATCCTGTGAAGAAAATAAATATGTATTATTTAGTTTAATTTTATTTATTTTTTACAGACAAATTAAGATTAAAATACCAATTTAAACTAAAAAAATGTTTGAAAACTCAAAAAAGTGATTAAAAAGTCAGATTAAACGGCCATTAAAGAAAGTTGCAATCAAACCTATGCTTGTGTTAAGCAACATGCAGGGAAT